CCCCAAAACCCCAAAACCCCAAAACCCCATGGAGAAAAAATCCAAATAAAATTGAAATTAAATAGTTTAAAAGTGATAATTCATAATTTTTCAATCCAAATAAAATGAGTTCAAATAATACACATGGACCACCACATCTATCGAATTTTGGAAAGAGATCGATGTATGATGTTAATGAAGGTCCAAGTCCCCTTCCTCGAGGATTTCCTCTTAGAAATACTAATTCTGGTATAGTTTAACTCAAATCTGATAAGATACCAACTGATAATATAAGATTGAGAAAGTTACCTGCAGAATAAATCTCCGAAAGTAGTGAAAATGCAGAAAAACGTAGAAAAGTTCAAAAACTGAAGAAAAAATTCACTAAAACTGCAAAAACTTTCCAATTCATGAAAAATAGAATGGATATGAAGAAGGTAAGAGATCAGATTGCCTAGGAGTAGGCGCTTGCTCTTCAATTACAAAGCCAAGGAACATTTAAGCAAAGTTATAACAATAACACAGGTATTCCTGGACAAGGTGGAAATGTTCTGATTACACAAATTTCAAGTTACAGATAATCAACAATTTAGAGATAAAATACTAATAGCATGTCGAAATTAGATTCTGAATGTAGAGAAAACAGTTAATCCAGCGAGGAGGAATCTGAAAAAGAAGTGAGCATTGTCGAAGCTGAGTTCGATATGAATAACGTATGTATTTTAACCATATTAAGGTGTAATTAATTTATAGCTTATTGAGGATAAAGATTTTCAAAAGGTATTAAGAATAGCTGAACTTTTTGAAAAGTAAACTCATAATGAACAAGAAACTGAAGAAATTATCACATATCTAAAGACTTTCGAGAAAATTAGAGATTAAATCGACATACTTAATAAGATACAAATAAAAAGAGTAAATTATGATTATTAATGAAACTTTAGTTGCTTCAAATCATGAAGGTGCAGTTTATTGAAAAAGGATCTTATCTCTTTAGAAAAGGAGATAGGGGAGATTGTGCATACATAATTATGCATGGTAAAGTTATATTCTTGACTTTGAGTCAATTAACCTGGCATGGATAGAGTCCTAGAGAAAATATTAAGAAGGAACTAGATTCAGCCTAATTTATGAGATACCTAGACACTGGCAGTGAAGGAATGACAAGTGTAGAGGTTGAAAATGTTATTGTAGAGTTTCCTAAAGGTAGACTATTTGGTGAAATTGCACTTCTTGATCCTACTAAAGCTACTAGATAACTATCAGCAATGACAAAAACTGATTGTATTTTGCTGATGCTTAATTAAGAAGCTTTCGATATAATGGTTAAAGAAAAAATAAAAAAAGAAAGAGAGGAGATGGGTAAATTTGTGTGTAATTCTATGCCTAAGTTAAAAGAAACAATCGGATTATCAACTGTCGTATCTAATGTGCATGTTATCTTCGAATAATCAGTATGAATTTACTCTTAATTAAATATAGTCGTTCTTAAAAGATTAGTGGGTATTAAAAGAAGGAGAAAAGTCTGAAAAAATCCATATTATAAAAGTTGGACATTGTGGACTTTATAAAAATATAGAGACGACTGATGAAATAGGCTAGAAGGTGATTAAACAAAGGAAACTAATGGATCTTGAAATTGGAAAATTATTTGGTGAGGATTTTATCTGTTTCAATATTATGAATTCATATTCTGTGAAAGTAAAATCGCCTAATCTTGTACTATATTCTATAAAAGGTGCTGAGTTTGGAAAGAAATATAAGAGGATGCTTTAGCCATTGCAAAGATACTTTTACAAAAGACAATGCTTAATTTCACAAGTTATTGACAATTACTAAGATTAGCATGAAATTATTAAGAACAACTTTTTCTCAACTGTTGAGAAAGGTAATATAAGTGTTTATTTGATGAGAGAATTGAAAATGCAGCTTGATCATGCAAATATGACAATGAAAAAGAAATTATATCGACATTATCTGAAGAGAGAACTTTAGCAAAATGGCCAGAAAAGACCATTTACTGAATCAGAATAAGATGATATACAGGATTTTAAAGATATAATGAGAGGATAAATTAAACTAAGCAGTATTAAGAAAAACAAGATAGAAAGAGTTTCGAAAACTATAGAGTTATTGAATCACTCTTTTAACAAAAAGACTTAAGAAAACAAAGAGCCAGTTTAAAATAAACTATTAGCGTTATAATCTTATCATACAATAGATGGTAGGCATTAAAATTAAGCTCCGAGAAATTTAGCATAAATAACAGGCCAATTCAAATAACCAGAGAGCTAAAACTTCTAAAAAATACCTTTGCAAATTACAAATGGTGGTGGTACAGCTTAATCTTAGTCTGATTATAGCAACAGTTTCTTTCTAAAACGATAATCATAATCTTAACAATCTTATGCATAACTTTCTAATCAAAAGACAAGACCATATTCAGCAGTATTTGACAAACCTTTGCAAAACTAACTAAAAATTATAACTGAAGCTTAAATAAATGAGTTTAGGAGTTAGTCTCCAAACAAATTAAGATAATAAACCCCAAGTAATAAGGCTAAATCTGACCTTATGATAACTTAGGCTACAACTAGTGGAAGTAAATATGGAGCAAGTACACTGATAAGAGTTTAGTCTGCCAATCGTATACCTACTGCAACTGGACTAAACAGAGCTTAAGCCTCGAGTTTGTCAAATTTAATGAAATTTCCTGGCCCTGTTAGCGCAAAGCAAACAATAATTCAAAATTCAATTGGCCATTAAATTCCATTAAACACTTAAGCTATCAATAAAGCTTCCTTTGCATTATCAACTCCCACATCATATTCATCTAGACCATTTTCTGCAACTGGTGGTGGGGGCCACATCCAAAATAGTTTAAAGTAAAATAAGGAGAGCATCATTAGTAATGCAAAAACAAACACTAGCTCTAATCATAATGTTCTATTCTCGAATGCATCCATATAAAACTAAATAGCGTCGACAAAAAATCAAGATAGATAGAACTATCATACCGGAGTGCCTCCTAAATATTAGTTAATAAAGAAATAGTAATCTGTTGAGAAAATTGAAAAACTTGATATAATTTAATGAATAAGCAAGTAATTTTATTTCTTATATTGTAAAATCTAATTTAAGTCCTTACGTCCTTATTTATGGGGTTTTGGGGTTTTGGGGTTTTGGGG